CAAATGTGCTTTACACAATTGATGTATGTATGGATTGTGATAAGAATTGTATGAGCCCCTAATAAAACAATTTAAAAAAATTGTTTAAGTAGGTAGCTCTGTGGCCCATTATCTAATTCTGTGTAAGTCTTCCTCAACAGAACCTGCATTATCTCTGTTTCACAAGGCATACTGACCACTATACATACTCTAACTTGCTAGCATAATAAAAATAAAGTTTAAAACTACCATTTTTCGGGGGCACTTTGGCAACAGAATTTCAGCATTGCTGCTTAAATGTTCCCATCCCTCATGGTGATAGATTTCTTAAAGACTGTTTCAATTTAACTACAACAAAAATAGGAATCACAGTTCTTAAAATTACCAAGCCCAGCCTGAGTGTAGCACTAAAATGAATCTTTCTCTTTCTCATTCTGAAATATGTAATTGCTGCAGATTCAAAATTTGTTATAACTTTCCTGACACCACCCACTTACATTTGCAGGAAAGGCTTCGTGCAGTACTACAAAACATCTGTTTCCCCTGAAAGGCAAAGGAGGACATTGTTTTTGGCAATGGAGTATCACACAAGCAATCATTTAATTAGGTTCTAAATGAGAATACAACAAAGTACCACTGGAAGTAGTCGGGTTACTAAAGGGCAGTCCAGAGTTTAACTCGATTATACTAAATAAAAGCTTGTAAGAGTTTAAAGTGGGAGGCAAAATCAAATGACAGTTTAAAAGGGAGGTTTCCTGTGGCAAATTTAACACTGCATTAGATTTTGAGCACTTGCTGTGGATTTTGACGGCTCAACAGAAACATTCTTAATCCATAAAAAGATTTTACAAGTAGCCCACATGCATGAGGAGCATTAAGTTGTAGTTGTGGCTGAGTCACCCATTGGACAGGAGGCTGCTCAATAGTTGATTCAGAAGCTTGCAGACTTTCTATGTTCAGTCTTCTAGTCTATCAATGCGGAGATAGCCAATGTGTCAATGTGGGCATGACCTACTCCTGAGAATTCTGGGAACTCCTGGATTTCCTCCATTGTGGTAATTCCTCTCTCTTGGCTCACTTCCTGCAAGACATCCCTGAGGAGAAGACACATGGACCTATCCTGAAGCAGCCCTGGAAACTGGAGGAGCCACATAGAGACACCTGTCAGCACTGAGATGCTTCTACCGCCACTGACTTTGCATCCACTGGCCTGTGATTGTCCTGCATTGTGTCATTGCATGTGTTTCATGAGTCTGAAGAGGGCTTTATAGATTGGTATCAGACATATGGGCTAATATCAGACTTATGGGCTTGGACTGGACAAGGGTTGGGATGTTTTCTCAATATTCAACTGCTTTTGTATATAAATCTCTTTCTTACATACATATGCATGTTTATGAATTTGTCTCTCTAGTCTCC